GAAATTATTATTATAAAACTATGATTATATAACTATTATCGCATAACTATAAATATATAAATGTATTTAACTATAAATATAACCTTTAAAAAAATAAATCTTTATTGTTCAGATTATTACAGTTGTTCTTTTTCCCCCCCATAGCTCCCCTCCACCCGGTTCCCACCCCACCCCATGCCCTTACCCCCACACTGTCCTCCTCCATAGGTGTATGATTTTTGTCCAGTCTCTTCCCGCACCCCTACACCCCTTTTCCCCCAAGAATTGTCAGTCCACTCCTTTTCTATGCCCCTGATTCTATTATATTCACTAGTTTATTCTGTTTGTCAGATTTTTTATTCACTTGATTTTTAGATTCATTTGTTGATAGATATGTATTTGTTGTCACTTTGTAGTTCATAATTTTTATCTTTACCTTTTTCTTCTTCTTCCTCTTCTTAAAGAATACCCTTCAGCATTTCATATAATACTGGTTTGGTGGTGATGAACTCCTTTAGCTTTTTCTTATCTGTGAAGCTCTTTATCTGACCTTCAATTCTAAATGATAGCTTTGCTGGGTAAAGTAATCTTGGTTGTAGGTTCTTGCTATTCATCACTTTGAATATTTCTTGCCACTCCCTTCTGGCCTGCAAAGTTTCTGTAGAGAAATCAGCTGACAGTCGTATGGGTACTCCCTTGTAGGTAACTGACTTTTTTTCTCTTGCTGCTTTTAGGATACTCTCTTTGTCTTTTGCTCTTGGCATTTTAATTATGATGTGTCTTGCTGTGGTCCTCTTTGGATTCCTTTTGTTTGGGGTTCTCTGTGCTTCCTGGACTTGTAAGTCTATGTCTTTCACCAGGTGGGGGAAGTTTTCTTGTCATTATTTCTTCAAATAGGTTTTCAATATCTTGCTCTCTCTCTTCTTCTGGCACCCCTATAATTCTGATGTTGGTACGTTCGAAGCTGTCCCAGAGGCTCCTTTCACTATATTCGTATTTTTGGATACTTTTTTCATTTTGCTTTTCCGGTTGGGTGTTTTTTGCTTCTTCGTATTTCAAATCTTTGACTTGATTCTTGCAATCCTCTAGTCTGCTGTTGGATCTCTGTATATTATTCTTTATTTCAGTCAGTGTATGCTTAATTTCTAATTGATCTTTTTTCATATCCTTGAGGGTCTCACTAAATTTCTCAGAGATTTCCAGAAGATTCTTGAGTAACCTTATAACCATGGTTTTGAACTCTATATCCAGTAGTTTGCTTTCCTCCATTTCTTTTGTTTGTGACATGTGTTTTTGTCTCCTAATTTTGGCTGCTTCTCTGTGTTGATAGAGTGGCTTTGTGTGCTAGGTGTCCTATAGGGCCCAGTGGCTTAGCCTCCCTAATTACAAGAGGTGTACACTCTTGCTGCACCCCTTTGTGAGCTTTGTGCACAGTCTTGTTGTAGTTAAGCCTTGATTGTTGTAGGTATCACTGGGAGGAATTGACCTCCAGGCCAATTGGCTGTGAGGACCAGCTGTGTTTACATGGGAGAACTGCTGTGCTGGAGACACCCTTATGGGGCAGGACTTGCTTCAGTGGGGCTTTGGTGCTCACTGAGTCTTCCCCTTGAGTGTGTCTCTTATGGATGTGAAGAGTTTTAATCCAGTACGGTCTCACTCTGACCCCTGGGTACACTGGCTCTTGGATATCCAAGGAGGTGCAAAGTCAGCCACTGCCTGAGGCCACCCAGCAGGAGCTACAGAGACATCTGCAGATTCCTTTTCTTTGTTTAGGGTTTGGAGGTGCCCAGATGAGGCCCAACTGTGAAGCAATGCAGACTGCTGTCAAGCCTTTTGGAAGCTCTGGTGCTCTCTGACCTAGTTGCAGTTTGTTAGGTTTTAGGCAGTGAGTGCACAGGTCATTCATATGCAAAAGCTGCTGTGAACAGCTTGGATGGG